AAACATAACTAGAAAGGCCAACATTTGCTTCGGAGCAAATGTAGGAATTTCACTCCATACCCTTCCCCAAACAAAAATGAGAGATTCTAAATAAATCATACTGCAATTATACAAGGACAAGCTGTTTGAATCTCGACAGGTATTTACAAAACTGGCACTTGGCAATTATCTCCCTTTTTTTTTACAAAGATACAACGACACTTTAAATCTCGACAGCTTTACTTTACACTTTTGACGAGATTGTAACTACTACTAACGGAAGCAAAATTTTCACGGCCTGAGAAAAATGGACATGTTCACGGAACTATATATTCACGGTGGTGACAGTTGCAGGAAAAGAAAGTCCAGGAATTATTTCCTAACTGTAATGATAAGTTCACAATACAGAGGTGACAGTGAAAACCGTGAACATTGACCCCCCGCTTGCGTTGCGGTACAGTGAAAAAAAATCGGGAATTACAGCAATCAATTTACTGAGTATGTTTGCTTAGTTTCCAGATGTTTTGTACTTGTAGTTTTTAAATGAACGAAAACCGATGCGCGCAGATGTTACTTTTGTGACAACATCAAAGTGATTTTGGTTTGTATGTTGAAAAAATACAAAAGACTAACATTCGAAGTTATTGAAATTCTTGAGTAAGAACAATCAGTTTTGGAATGTTAAAGGCAAAGCAATGGATATTAAAACGAAAATGTTAAAATTAAATGTTGAAATTGTTAAAATGTAAAATGGTTAAAATGGTTAAAATTGTTGAAATTGTTAAAAATGTTAAAATTGTTAAAAATTGTAAAAAGGGTAATTAAAAATATCCAGTGTACCGGGGTTCGAACTCGCAATGTCTGGACTTGCAGCCCTGCGCGTTACCAACCGAGCTATCTGGACGTGTTTCCATTACTCTTTGCATTGTATGTCATATAAAGTGAACAACATGGCGGTATCGATCGCTTCAAGTACTAGTAAGGGACTTTCTAGGAGATTTCCTTCTTTATCAGGTTCGCTTTTGAACCACCGGTACCTTGATGTAACGTAACTATCAATCCGGCTAGCAGAAGCCGCCGGCTCCCTGTCCAATCTTTGAAAACTGTCGGGCATGCAAGCCCTCAACGCTCGCTTTAGGAAAATTTGCCAGGAAGCCGTCTTGCGATGTTCTCAGTAACAACAAATGAACGCCTGTACACTCTACAATTTTGGTGATTCTTCAGAAATCGATAACAGAATATATAATACTAGTCGGTGAAGATTGTGGAAATTTGTTGATACCGTGGCGCGCGCGCGTGCGCCGAGGATGCACATTTATATACGTACCGTTGTTTACAGTACTCGCGGGGCGCAGGTCATTGACCTCCCGCTTGCGTTGTTCCAACAGAGAAGAGCGAAATATCTGCCAGTTTTTGCGTCAGATTTTCAGTGTTTGTTAAAATCATATACAGGCATCCATGCAGCTATAATTCTTCCAACTAGTTCGTAGTTAGGTGAAATGTTTATAGGAATCACACGAATCGGTATCCAATATCAGAGTATCAAATAGTAATGGCCCACGGCCGAGACCGCGTGGACCAGCCGATGGCCCACGGCCGAGACCGCGTTGACCAGCCGCGCTGGTAATCCCCCTATTGTACGTGAAAATGGTAGTAAATAAATTAATTAGTCAACAGCCAATCAACAGCCACATCTGCAAACATGACCACACCTGCTTGTATGCCCATATTTGGGCCTTCCCCCGAATTCCTTTCTTATTACGTCACGCGCGTACGCCCCCACAGTTAACTTTCCTATGGGGACCACTAAAAAGCAAATAAAACGATTGTAAAAGCTTGTATCAAAAAAATTTAAAAAAACGCCTAAGGGTATTTACCCACTCTACCTCTATACGAAATTACAGGTAATTTCGCCCAAAAATGAAGGAGTTGAATCAATTTAAAGAAGTGGCAGGAGAAGAAGAAGGAGGAGGAGGAGAAGGAGAAGGAGAAGAAACATCAGAAAAAGCAGTATTTCACTCCATACTTCAAATAAATATTACTTAGCCTGGATGCCAGCCTATTTAGCTTAAGTTGGTATACGCTATCGTAAGCCACAGCTGTCACACATTCAGAACCTTCCCCGACTACCAGCCGACCAAGTTTGGCTTAAGTTTGGGAGGAGTCTGACCGAATTTAGGCCATACCTACCTTCAGCTTTCTATACGAATCGAATCGAACTTGAGTCAAATTTGAGTCAAATTTGACCCCTGAACAGACCCAAACACCACTGACCAACACCAGCCAACCACAAGTAATTAAGAGAGTGTTCTGCAGCTAGTTAAAATGCTAAATTTTACTGACCGATGGAACAGTTCAGTTCGTCAGACATGTCTGCGCAGTCGGTGACTCCATCACAGCGGTCCCCAGGCCGGACACATCCGGATCCATCCGCGCAGGTGAACCCGTCAGCCGCCTCACAGTCGTCTGGTCAGACATGGGGCGTTTTATAAACTCATGGTAAGGCCACACCAATTTAACTTGTTGGGTCTCGGAATTTTGCAGAAAAAATATGAAGCGACAGGGCGAAAAAAATAATAAAACCAGGCCTAGGCATCCTATTATAGCCTCAAATGCTACTATAGGAGCCATGAAGTCAACACAAAAGGCTGTGTTATATAATTGATATATTGAACTTTTAACCAAACCACTGCATTGATAACATGAAAAAACTGGAACAACTATGAGGGAAAAATATGAGCATATTTGAGTTGATTCAGAACCAGAATTTTTTTTTTTTTTGCAAATCAGAAAAAAAATTAAGAGGCGAATCCGAGAAGCAACAAATTAAATTGCTGTGGCCTAACGAACCCATGTACAGGTCTAGACCTTTCAAAAACATTTTTATGCAAAAAGAGAACAGACACACTTGTACTATGTACTTCAATAGCTCCAGTTGAAATGTAAGTCGTATATATAACATTGGTACTTATATCAATAAGCAAGAGAGCATTGAGTTTAAAGATATGGAGAGTGACGAATATTATATTGTATTCGTATACTATCATGAAAGTTTGTTTGTGTTGGTAGTTACATGTTTTAAGTTAAAACTTTTGATCCAACACAAAATGTGACAATCCTCACTGGTCAGTCTACTAAGGAAGACCAGAGTGACTGGTTAAAAGCTAGGTGAGAGAACTTTTTGTGTTGGATCAAAAGTTTTAAATTAAAACATATTGTATTAGTATTCGCCTTCCTATTCTTTATTCATTTATTTATTTCATTATAAGATGGCTGGGTAGCTCCGTTCAGCTTACATTAGGTGTTTTCCAAGGGGGCCCAGCAAGATTACACAAGACATTGTTACATACAGTAAGACAAGAGTGGACAACATACAGTAAACATAAAAGTCCGATGCGTCAAAACAGAGTCATAGTCCTATACTCAAAGTCCTAGCCGTTCAAAGGTCAAAAATAAAATATATTTTAAAGCCTGCTTTAACTGCTTTAAATTCTGCTACCGTAGTGCAAAAAGGACTCATGTGAAAAGAGTCACTCACAAGGAGGAGTCCAGCTTTCGTCCCAGCCGAGTGTCTCTCCGACGTTCTGTGTTTCCAACCAAGTGATGAGTGGTTGGAAGTACTCCACGATCGGCTGAGCTGACATCGTCCTTTGGCCAGTGATCACCTCCATGGCGTCCGGCCACGGTTGACTGGCACCCATCTGGAGCATTCGGCTGTGTGGTAATTGTTTAGGGTAGAGAGGGTGGGTGGGTACTGTTATCATCCACACGTTTCAGAACAAAACGTTACCACATCAATGCAAATTAAAGGTATACGTAAACAATGAGTCTTATGTACTTTGAGCATACAGAGGAGCACAAAGAAAATCACAGCCATTATTGTACGTCGGACTTACTGAGTTTGACCGGAATAAGATATGATAATCCACGCCGATTACATCAAATATAGGTCAATCATTTGGATAATGATTACTATGAGTAGCAAAGCAGGTTGCCACGTTTTCCCACATGCCACCCCAAAATGTGACAGGATATTATAACTCTTATTTTTTATTTATACATCTAGGTAGGGCCCAGTCACATCCGTCTTACCGTAGATTTTGTCTTGGAATAGTAGTGTTTCCATCTACCCTTGTCTCATATCTTTACTGAACATTTTTATTAACTTTTGTGACTAAATTTTCAGAGAAAATATGATGAAAGAAGAAACGAGAAGTATTTAGGGTTTTAGAGTAATTTCCTGGTTTAAAAACCCATAGAAAAGAAAACTAATGTACACGCAGGTAAAAGAAAAGTTGAAGACTGACGCCAGTTTCTGGCCTGCTGTAGCTCTGTGAGCCTGTGTCCGTTGTAAGTTAAGCCATGCAATTTTGATGCCGTAGAATGTGTAAGCAGGCTGTGACAGAACCAACCACCGACAACGATCCAAGAGAGTCTTTTCTACAGCAAGACAGTTTAATCTTACACGACTACTACAAGAATGCCATCAGACGATATAACGACAATAGCGCGCTAAAGGACCCTAGGCTGTTATAAACAAAGAGGAGTACACAGAGACAAGTGCCTTAGCGTTCGACAGGAATATGATATAACAACTCACGCCAACTTTTCCCCAGCGGCCGCCTTGTTGGGCCCTGCAGAGATGTCACACTTGTGCAGCGGGCCGGTATGCCCGGAGGTCTGACACAGGGCCTGGTGGAACTGGAACTGCAGCACAGAGCTGACGAAGTACCTTTGACGTGTCACATACAAAACAGATCTGTGTTGATGTACGGTACTACTGCAAGGGTGGCCATTTTATATCATAGTTTTAGACCCCCCTTGGTTAAAAAAAACAACGTTAACCTTTTTCAAAACTATCATGAAAGTTCATCTGCGTTGGTAGCAATCATAGTAAAACATCGAACTTTATTCCAACACACAGTTTACAGAGAGATCAAATTTTCAGAGACCACTGTCGCCTTCATCAGGATAATTGATGACCAATCACTTCACAACGTAATCTCGCGAGAGTTACGGTTTACAAACACGTGACCTTAATCACACGAGACTTTACTGATACGTGACGTAATCAATTGATCAAAAGTGCCAGGGAGTTTATATCGTCCACCATCTCTATTAAGTGAAGGCTGAAGTGTTCATTAATTATCCCGATGAAGGTGACAGTGGTCGCTGAAAATTTGATCTCTGTAAACTGTGTGTTGGAATAAAGTTCAAATTTTTACTATATCTCTGTGTTGGTGCACAGTACTACTGCAAGGGTCATCATCTTACATCATCATCATCATCGGTCGACTTCAGTGCGGTTGACTGTAAGTTTACCTCATTCCCCTGTTGCTAGCGAGGCCAGAGATTTGTTATCATCATTTTATAACATACGTTTATAACTCCCTTGCAAAAAAAACATTAACCTTTTTCTATACTATGCACGACTTACTGGACAGTATACTGGACGAATCAAAAGACGACGTAATGTAGCGCACAGAGTATAACACAGAGTACATTTACATGCTCGAGCGATATACTTATTTCATTGTGAATAGTTTACTAATCACACTGTACAATCATCGGATCATCCTGCATAAGTTATGTGCCGAAGTCGCGCGGAGGGAGCCTAGACCCTGCAAATGTGCATTATTTGCTGAGATGGGCGGGCGCTTGGGAAGCGTCCGAGACTATCTTCCCTGACTTCACTCTAGAAATCCCGCATTGCCCATACCTGCGGGAACGGCCCCCACCGTGGTCTTCGGTGTTGCGGATGTCTCCAAAGAAATGGATGGGGTGATCACCCCATTTCTTGATAAGGCGCGCATGCCATGGGGTTGGTTAATTAGGTTATTACGGATAACCAATGAGAGCGCAGTGTAATTTCTGGAATGAATTGTGACATAAAGACCTTATGTAAGGATTGTTGGCGGCTATGTGGTACTTGGAACCAGGGTCAAAGTCTTTGTCATGGTTCCTGGGAACGGGAGGCACGATGCCCTGGTAACGAGTCCTGTTGGAGTAATACAATACGTGTGTATTTGCTGTATAGCACAAAGAAGATACACAAAATACTTAAAATAATACACTCATTATATTCTATAACTTATGTCTTCAAACTTTTCAAAAAGTACGATGTAATAGATTGAGTTTATCTTATCTTGAAAGCTCATCTGTGTTGGTAGAAATCATTATGAAGCAAGTTTAAACTGTAATTTCCAACACAACAAATTGGACGCAGAATGAGACAACACACGCGACTCCGTGAGCAGTGGATCATAGGTTGCAGAAAGTCTGTGGCGCCCCCCGTCTCTGTTGAGGGATGGTTGTAATGCCCTGATGTAGATGGCCTCTTTAACCCCTCGTGCAAAGAAATATGGTTCTGGGTACAAGATTCTTACTTTGTCCAGTGAGACTGAATGTCCAGGTGATTCTATGTGTATATGTTATGAGACCTCCGAAGTAGCCGAGCTAGCTCAGAACCGGACTTCTTTGCACGTGGGATTAAAGAG